AGACAAGGTTGGGCGAGTACGTCCCGAACTACGAGGAAACCGCGGGCACCGTTGCAGGGCGGGAGGCGGCTAAGGAGTTGATGAGACTGCTCTCGTGCGACTTTGAAGGTCTGGTCATCAACTCGAAGAAAGTCTCGGAGTTATTCGAGGAACGTGCTGAAGGAAACTGGACGTGAGGCTGGAAACTGGGTGAATAGTGACCAGGCCATCTGGTTCCTGAGGGAGATCACGGGCATGGAGAACGCCGAGATGTCGTGGAAGTTCTTCATTCCGACGATCAAAGCTTTCCCGATAGGACAAGTTGAGGCGATGCTCATGGTCATGTACGATGGGAATGGTGTCCTCCTCAAGGAGAGCACTAGGTTAGTGGCCGTTAGGTACACGCGGATCGGACGTGACATGAGCTACAGTGCCGTTAGGCAAAGGTACACCCAAGAAGATGCACCTGGCGGATCTCTGATGTACGAGATGCACTGGAATGAGCTCCCTATGGTGGGGTATGTCATCATGAAGTTCTCAGACTTTAGGAGGGCAGTTCAGCTCCAGAAGGTGAGGCGAAACGGAAAGGCCATGATCGAGATATTGATCACGAGGCCCGATGTGTACGAGACCATTGGGGATGGAAGGCAGGATGAGGGCCTGATCCCACTTGTGGAAACCATGGCGCCGAATGCCGAGGTATCGCCTTCGTGGTACGTCAGGGACAGGCTGCGGAACTACTCGGGAAGGTACGTGGTGGTAATCGTGGACCTTCGGGTACACTGGTCATTGGTTGGACCCGTGTTTCTGACGAGGAGAAAGACCCTTGCCGTTCGGAACGAGATCCACATGGGCGCTTGGAAGGCAGCATACATGTACGATGATTACACGATAGTGTATCATCGGGCATGGGACTATGGTGACTTTACCCCCGTTAGGGGGGAGCACAGGCGATCGCGTGAAGAGGTCAGGTTGAATGTGACCACCACGTTCTGTTTGAGGTGCGCGGAGATGACGCCAAATGGGATGCATTTGTGCCCTGGGTGTGCGCTCCCGGTCTTCTACCCGAACTTCATCCCTAACGCGGACGAAAGTGACTTCGAGAGGTGCCGCATCGTCCCGGAGTGGGTGAGGAGCATGGGACAGTTCAAGCCCAAGAGGATCCCATCCGAAGTGGTCGGAGTCATCAAGAGGAACTTGATTTCCTATTCGATGGCGTCTGACCTGAGGATGACGGTGCAGAGCGGCATCAGGCTGCCCCCTTATCTTGGTGAGGACAAGGGAGGAGTCGATACGGCGTGGGATGAGCTGGCGAAGGTGCTCTTCCAATTCTCCTATGTGTCGGGGATTTCGGCCTCGGATGCGTTCGTGGAGAAGTGGGTGGCGAAGCACCTGATTATGACCAACCAAGTCGATAGATTTGATTCGGTCACTGAGTACTTCCGGGCCAACCCGAGGCATGCTGCTCAGTGGGGTAGGCGTATGACGACTTCCGTTAGGAAGTTCGCTCGCCACGACACGTACTTGTCCTTCTATATCCCGATGGCGTACGTGATTGGCTCTGCGGCGGGTCATCTGACTCCATTGTATCCGACCCATCGGAAGGACGTGGACATTCTGGCCAGTCATGCGTTGATATCGGATCTCAGGAAGTACATGGTGTCAGAGACAGGGTACGATGAGAAGAAGAGGTTGAAGGAGGCGATAGCCAAGGTGCAGAAGGCAATCAGTGCCGGGCAGTCGGAGCCGACCCATTCGTCTACGTTAGCGACGAAAGGGTGAGGACGGTTCTTGATGGTCGTCAACCGGAGCCATTGGACGTGAACATCGAAGGGCTTCAATCGGTGCATCATGCTGCGCAGGGTCCTGGTCCTAAGCAGGAGCCGATCGTCAAGGGCGGAAAAGGAAAAGGGAAGAAGGGGGAAAAGGGCGGTAAGGGCGGTAGTCCTTCCGGCCCACCACCAAAGGCAGGTGAAGTGCCAGGAAAAGGGTCTGGCAAGGGCGATAGTCCATCTGTCTCACAGGCAAAAGCGAAGGCTGATGCTGGGCCGGCTCCGATGGAGGTTGATGCAACTGTGGCTCAACCGAAGAAGACTTGGGTCGCGATGGTGGTTGAAGGAGCCAGGCCGAGCGCGAAGGCTAAAATGACCTCGGTTCCAAAGGCCGAGCCAAAAGGGAAGGCCGCTTCAGTATCTGAGGCGAAGAGTGCTCCGGCTCCGAAGGCTGAGGCTAAGGAGACGAAGCAGGCCGAACCGAAGGTTGAGGTCAAGAAGGAGAAGATAGGCGGAGATGACGCTCCTGGCGGTAGCCGGGGGTCGGCCGAAGGGCAGAAGAGAGAAAGGAAGTCCCGTTGGGATCCTGACGAGACTGTGAAGGAGTCGACGAAGCGAGAGGCATCGACGAGGCCTGACGACGTTGACAGCAGACCAGGTGCGGCAGCAAGAGAGGCTAGTGGAGATGATCTTCACTCTGCGCTTGGTAGGTCTTCGGCAAAGGACGCGGTAGCGCCTCTGACGGCCTCCAAGGCAATGGCAAAGAAGCCTGAAGGCGGTGAGATCAGGTTGCAGTCGGCTGAGCGAACTGCGGCGAGCCCGGTGGAGGGTCACTTCCTGGTGCTGCCTGAGAGTTCGGTGGTGGACGCTCTCTTGTCGGTCTCCACCAACAGAGTGCTGAACAAGCAAGTCAGGGATTTCATCAGAAATGGTGAGGACGCGTCAGCACTGGAGGCTCTCAACCAGATCGTGACGAACTCTCGCTCTGGGAGGAGGCGTAGGGAATCGGACGTTTCCCGCACTCCTTCTCGGAGGTCCGTTAGGACCGTGGACACCAGGGATTCCAGAGAGTCGAGAAGGCGCAGATACCGTCCGCGGCGCGAGGATGATCGCGACCGGAGGAGGGACGATGCTCGTGATCGTCGTGATGATGATTCACTCGATCGGGAGCGAGAACGAAGGCGAGATGATGGCAGGAGATCCGAAAGGGATCGTGATAGGGACCGTGCGCGGGGCGGACGTGACCGGAGGAGACGTGACGATAGCCGATAGGCTGAGTCACGAGGATTGCGGCCGATAGGCTTGCGTCCATTCTCCCATGGTCGGCGCGGTGCGGAGGTGGTGATGTTCCTCCCGAACCGCTGAGGCGCGGAGATCATGTCTCTCCCATACCGCTGCTGGGCTGCTGGTCGTGTTCATCAGGAAGCAGTGTGAGTGAGAGGGAAAGCAAACTGATGGGGGGTTACTCCCGGGTTTGCGGAATTCAAACATTTTTCAGGTACGCATGGTCAGGAGTACCTCTTGCCGATAAGCGAGGGTACTAATGGACATACGTTATCTTTTATTTCATGGCTTCTGATAAGAATTGAACTTCTTGCATTGTTGATGCAAACAGTTGTGACCTAGTGTCGTCATGTGGACCTTTCCACAAGGTATGTTGGACAGCGTTACCCCGATTAATTCGGGGTGGTGGCGGGAATTTAATGCCCGGGATGTCGCGCAGCTGCCTTTGTGGGTTTGCTCCACCGCTGACGGCGGTAGTGTCCAGCTGTTTGCGGATACATGCGAGCAGTTAAATCCTATCAGTAAATGGCACGCTCCACCCGTCATATGACGGGCTCCTCGTGAGGGGGGTGTGATTAGCCATGGTTAATATCATCATCAGGGACGTCGCGGTAGTGACCGACCTGTGGTGTTTTGGCTCAAGTTTACGGGTTCCGTCGCGCCTCGAATGGGCGTCGCCGAACCCCTGCGTCGACCGACGGCGTCTCGGGGGAGAAAGAGACCTCGGGCCGCCGCCAGGTTGGTAGGGACCAGTCGTGCGGCCTGTTGTCGATCAAGGTTGCGGGTTAACCCTTTTCTCTTTTGGTTTGTTTCCCTTTTGGTTGTTGTTCTCTGGTGTGTGGGAAACCCTGATCTTTGGGACCGGGAATTGGTTTGCTTTTGGGGAACCTTTCTTTTGTGGCTTGTTTACCCCAACTTACCCATTGCCTGGCCACAGGCTCGTGCCCGAATCACACTTTTTACACATGACGCTCCCCAGCTTCTTTCATTTCGGGAAGTCTGAGGCTGATGAGCGCAAGCGCCAGGAGCCGAGGGCGCCAGGGAGCTGTGGAGGAGCCAACAGAGTTGTGGGGAGCGCCAGAAGAGGTCAGCAAGCAGAAACCTAGGCGACTCAACGTGGGATGGTACTGCCCCTTTACTATTTTTCAGGCTAGGTGTTGCCCATGCAAGGTTCGATAAACAGTATGTCCCGCCAAGCGAGCTTCCTTGGCTTTGCCCAGATGGGCGAATGCCATTGTTCAGGGCGATATAGGGCGATTTTTCCTCACCGTTGGGCCTAGTTGCATCATGTCCGTGACCTGGATCAGTCCATTCTTGCACGCTCCCTTCTCCACTTTTGGCCAATTTGTTCTGCTTGAACCGAGTGAGGTGCGCCATACTTAGCCCTCATCGAAGAGGGGCTCAAGCTGAAGGGCTCAAAGTGCGGGTCATGCCACACGCCATGGCATCTAACCTACCAGCGCTTGACCATTCTGATGAGCTGTGTTTCATATGCTCGAGAAGAACAAAGAAGCGCATCACATTCTCTCCAGATCGTGATAAAATGTTTGTGTGCAACGTATGTCTTCCGAGCCAGAGTTCCGGGCAAAGGGCCTGTGAAACCGACACAGACTTTCAAGACGACCGCCAGCTGCATGTCCTGATTGTCGACCCTGAGAATTTACACGCCAACGTCAAACAAGGTCAGTACAATGACGTGCTCATGGATGTGAAAAGGCCCAAGCTTATCTTCATTTGGTGGAGGGTCAGGCACTCCATGCAAAGGCAGGCGATACCAAACTCTCTCAAGTGGAGAAGCAGCATCAGATCAGCGAGGCTTTTGATGCAGCTTCGAAATCTGTTGACTTGTTCCGTACCTTTTTCAAAGATCAGATAGACATTATCAAGTATGCCGAGGCCTTGCTTTTGCAGGCCAATTTAGCGGCTCATGTTGCCAAGCATGACAAATGGCAGCAGCCTACCTGGATGTCAAGTGGGAAGACTGGGAAGAAGCTTGACCATGCCGGAAAGAATGCCAGGGAAGCTTTGGACATTCTGAAGGATTTGGGTCATGTGGATGTAGGCAACGCCTATCGTGTTCTGGGCGTTCTTGAATTGAGTCGAAACGATTTGAAAAAGGCAAAGGACAACTTCATCAAGGCACTGCGGGAGTTCTACAAGTCAACTCATGGGCGGAGGACCGTCTGGTGCGCAGTGGCCTTTTGGAATATGCACATCACCTTCATAGAACAGGACGAGAAGAAGGACTCTTTGCCATGGCTCAAAAAGGCGGCCATACTACATGCTGAGATTGAGGGAGACAAGCATCCTTACACCAGGCAATATCGAGACAGCCTCGAGAAACTGATGAGGGATGAGACTGACGCAGGCGGTACGGACAAAGATTTCAAGCTTTCAGACGACGAAGCTAAGGCTATCGCAGCAGTCCTCGATCTCAGCTTGGCTTTGCTTTAATCTCCTGAAAGGTTTTACATTGCTTTGGTTTCACCCCAGCTCAATGCAGCTGGAATCAATGTTGCATCTCAAATGACTCAACAGACCCTCAGTTGACGTTGATGCTCTTTGTTACTAGCAGGCAACTGTCAACAAGTTCCATTTCAATTGCGGCAACTTCGAGTTCATGATCTCAATGCGTGAACACTGTGGAGATAACAGCTGGCGATGCACATCACATGTTGGCAAGTACTGGAACCTCTCCCCGCAGCTGAGCGTTTGGCGCTGCGGAGCCGGCAGCCCATCACTAAGGTCATGGCGATGAAGTGGACAAGTATAAGACTCAGGCAGGTGCGACGCGGACGAGTAAATTTCCAAAGACAGTCGCCATGTTGCTTCGGAGCGCTGTGTGCGGCTGTGTGCGTGGTCTCTTAGAGGTTGCATGTTGCAGCATGCACCCTAGCTCTATGACAGCTGCTTGGCTTTTGTGTAACCTCAATATTCCCTTGTTGCAACTCGGTTCTGACATTGCCGCAGCACTCCGCACATTTGCTCCAAGCAACAGAAGGAAGTGGGACTCAACTTGGCAAAACAAAAGAGCCCAGAAATGAGGTCCACAGCCCACTGTTCGCGGAGTGGGACCGGAAGGCAAGAGCCTCCCGTGATCCGCAAGAAATCAACAAAGAGCCTCGTTGAACATGCCTATGATAGTTTGCTCGAAGCCCGAACCCCCTACACACACAGCAAGAGAATGGACTGCCGCAAGACAACTTGCACCGTTCAATTAGCCGACTCAAATCCTTGCTCAACAGCCCCAACCCCTGCGGAACCCCTCGAAAGCGCCACTGAACCTTAGAGCTTTGGGAGACCCCAAAGCCTTCAGTCAGGGAAGTCGGGGGTCTCCACTCGCATGGCCCGGGCCTTGCCGGCCTTCTGCCTGGTGCTGGCTTTTGCCGAGGACAATCAGCGGAGCACAAACCTAAACGAGTCTTCAAAATGAGGAACTATCTTCGTGGCGTTTTTGTTCTTGAAAAGAAAAACATACTTATCATCTTGTGGTTAGCTTGTTTCGGAAGACGGGAAACTAATCAAATCACCTGGAGAGGCCCCGAGACGGGAACACCAATCAAATCAAGTCACCTGGAGACGGGAAGACTCAAACCCAGGGAATTTGGAGTAGGGCTTGGGGCATAAAGCGCACAAATGCGTGCGATGGCCCGCGAGTTTGGCAGTTTGGCAGGACGCATCTGATGCTTCTTCATTTCTGTACAGTCAGGCTGGCCAAGGGTGCGGGCTTTCTCTATTGTTTAGTGGAACCTTTTCTACCCGCACAGCGATGCAGGCTGTTGACCATTTGGACCTTGCTTGCTTGGACGCGTTGCTTGGGACCCCTTGGGAAGGTGTATGCGGCCAAGCGGAGCGAAGCTTGGCTTGCAGCTGGCGTGCAGAGGACTTCCCCAACGAGTTGGAGTCACATTGGTTTCCTCCGCAACGCGTCCCAAAAATGATCACACAGTCACGTCCGGGCCTACATGGCACATCTCGGTGCCAAGCTGTTTCTGCAGTGTTGCTTGGGCTCAGGATTACTATCTCCGGCGCGCCAAAGCGTTCCGTTCGAGTTCAGTTGCGTGCCGAGCCTTTCTGGAAGCAGCTGCCGAGATCAATCCGGACAACGAGTCTGCCCCTCTGCTGCACACTTGAGGTACGGAGCATGCGTCAGTTTGGTCCATCTCCGTTTGGAAATTGCCAAGCCATGAACAATTCGCAGCGTGTACTATCGCCAGTTTAGTAGACGCAAAGGTAAATTTGTCTGGCTCGCCCCGCTTTAGTGCGGGAAGTTGGATTGATGGTCAATCCTGTTGCAAGCCAGCAATCTGAATGTTTCCGGTTCACACCTTGCTCCCTTTCGATTTTTTAGATCACTCTCAGGCAGAGCTATGATCCGAGTTGCATCGACACGTTTTCGTTTTTGCAAATTTTGCAGGTTGGCCAGATTCAACGCCATGTCCTTCTTGCTTGTCAGCACAGCACAATTTTCAGCCAGTCTTGGCTTGCGTGAACCTGATTTCAAACTTTAGAGCCTCCGGCTCAGTCCGCCGACATTGTCCTCTCCCTTTTCTCCTTCTTCCTCTCTCCCTTGTCTCCCTGGTGTGTTCTGTCGTCCTCTCTCCCTCCCTGTGCTCCCCAACCTCCCCATCCCCCCAAGCCTCTCTCTCCCCAATCTCCCTCTCTCGTATGTATGTATGTATGTATGTATGTATGTATGTATGTATGTATGTATGTATGTATGTATGTATGTATGTATGTATGTATGTATGTATGTATGTATGTATGTATGTATGTATGTATGTATGTATGTATGTATGTATGTATGTATGTATGTATGTATGTATGTATGTATGTATGTATGTATGTATGTATGTAATGTATGTATGTATGTATGTATGTATGTATGTATGTATGTATGTAATGTATGTATGTATGTATGTATGTATGTATGTATGTATGTATGTATGTATGTAAGTATGTATGTATGTATGTATGTATGTATGTATG